AACGAAATAAGAATAAAATAGGAGAACAAAAAGAAACTGACTTTTGCTCATTATTTAATTATTTAGAGTGCTATTCCATTGTGCAATGTCGATCTGCGATTGCTTATAATGAATACATTTTAAACTATGCTCATAAAAGAACAATAAAGCCTTTCACGAATTGATTAATTTGATATAAAAGCATTTAAAATCTTGAAACTGGATTGTAACGTAAAAAAAGGGCTGAAAACACTATACAATATTTTATTATCTGCCAAAGAAGATTAATGTTTGATTTAAATATATTCCGGAAATTCTATCAATCAAAGTGTTCCTTTTTCGATTGAATATTGACTTAACCGGGACATCTCGAAAAGTGAGAATTGTTGGAAAGAGGGGATCAATTTTGCCTTTTGTCTAAATGCATTTCTTGGGGATCAATATCTTTAGCAGCGTTTCCCATACTTTTTTGACCGAGGTCAAAAGTACTTGTTTGTTACTTGTTTGTTACTTGTTATCAGTTACTTGTTTGTTTATTTTATACTCAAAAGTAATTATGTAAGAAGAATATAAGTAATTAAAAAATAAACAATTATATTCGTTTAAAACTTCAGTAAATGAAGTAAACTTTGTTTCTACATGTTTTGTCCTTAGTGCGAAGGATGATATTGCTTGTCATAACATAACAATTTTAAATTAGGAGGTAATAGTGTTAATTTTATTCTCAAATTTGATCTGACAGCTAATCTGTTTCGATACTTGTTTTCTTACGTACACCAAGGCTGAGAACGCAGCTTCACACGCATACGCGGCGTTAAAAATTGTATCGCTTTTTCGCGTTATTCCTTTTGACAGTGAAACCCAAAAATCAATTTGTGGCACAGTTTCAAACATTTTTTTCTTCCAGATCAGTGTCGCATGAAATTTCAATCAAATTAACAACTTACTATTCACTAAGGTTAAACATTTATTCATTTTCAATTTTGAACAGAAAAAAAGATATTTAAACCACATATTATTTAAAGGAATGTTCGGAAAGTAGTTTTTAACCCTTTTGGGACGGACGAGTCATACATGTATTCGTTAGGAATCAGTATCAAGATGGTAAAAAATAAAAAGCGGTAGCTTAACTTTGGGCATAGCTAATTTGACGGATTAATTTTTGCTTTTACTTTAAATCTAGCAAATCCAATCCATGTGCACTCCTCGTTTCCTTGCATGATTCGGTAAAAAGTATGCTATTTAATGCACAAGATTTTATGCAGTTTACAGACTTGACACATTTATTCTAAGATATGTTTAAATTTAAAGCCAAGTGTTTCAGAGCCAAAACTTGTCTACGGATGCTACAGTGCACCCATACTCGATGGGATGCCTGCAAGTGACGTAGTGTGGGTATCTTGATCCCCATTGGTTGTTGAAACGTGGTATCTGTTTACGTTGACAACTGTTCATGCCATTCGACTTCGAGTAAGCCAAGCCCATCAAGCATCAATTCTCGTAAGTGACACATTCTAAATTCTTTACCAAAGATTCTTTCACTTTCACAGAGACACTTAACACAGAAGCAGGAACAAAGTTACGTAGAACATAAACAAGCATATTATGCATCAAGGTTGCCAGGTACACAAAACAAAAATATATCACGGTTACAATAAAATACATAAACATATCATAAATCTAAGTTAAGTAAAAGAAATAGACGAGAAAGAATTATATTTCAACAAATTCGAAGTGTAAAACGGTTCTGTATTTAATTACTATGTAGCGCGATACCCAGAGAGAACCAACGTCTATTGTGCCCATCTTAGTTTTCTTGACCTTGGGTTCTAGGGCGCAAGAGCAGATGTTTCGGTTTGGTGGTCAACCGAACTCGGAATCCACGGTGTTTAGACCCCAAGCATGCTTGGCACGCATTTTATCGACCCACTGAAGGGATGAAAATCTGAGTTAGCCTTCCCAACCCTAGGATCGAACCCAGGACCTGTGGCTCAATAACGCGAAACACTACCTCTCAGTCACCGGGCATCCTGCATTTAATTAACTTAACGTTAATTAACATTTTAAGCTTTGTAGAGAAACTTAGCTCAACATTAATACGTCATTTTGCTGCTAAAATTAGCTGGCTCTGACGTCATAGGTCACATGTGTGGGTATCGGTTGCCTTCTTCTTCTTGGAGTGCAAGTGCCCAATTAATGTCTAATTATTGATTTTGTTTAAACAAACTCTTATGACAGCCTGCCAGAGCACGTGCTCCGTCACTACTTAGATTAAAACACTTCAATCCAATAAACATCCAATCAACATGATCCAATAAACATCCAATTGTGACCTGGGACAAAATTATTGTTAAGCTTAAAAATCTCATCTGCGGTCGTTCTAGTGGATAGTATTTTAGAAAACAAAAAAAATTCTTGTATGGTGTCTTCGTCAATATATCTGATAAAACGCATTAGATATGCGTTATCCTCTTTATTTGAGCTATTATGTACTTTGCAAGGAGAAAAAATTTGCTTTTTTCTTTACATTAGCAACTTGTTCTTCTGAACGTTTCGCAGTATCGTTACTTCTCCGTTTAAGTGTATTATTTGATATTGATGTAACCGACAATAAACTTTTTTCCTTCATTCAGGAAAAATTATTTGTGTCAATTTTTAAAGCGGAAATTATTATTTTTTCTCCAGCACTATAAGGATACCTAGCCTCAGCTGTTTATGTGAAAATTTCAAAAGATTTCAAAGGGAGGTTTTTATTTGACTGATGAGAAAAGAGTACATTTTTTATTTTATTTATTTATTTATTTTTTTTTTTTTGAGTTGCAATCAATTTCTTTTTCTTATCAGCAAAAAAGTCAATTGGCTTATCAGACTACTCAAAGCGGTTGTACAACGGTTATAAAATAAAATTAAAAAAAATAAAGTAGCGGCAAATTATTTTGACTGCAGCTGGCAATGAACCCAACTCGTAAGTATTCATCACAATATTTCCGACTCCAGTTAGCTTTACGATTGTTGTTTTAGAGCTGTATACCTGCTTTAGGGGCTTCAGACAAAGTATCTTTATGATTATGAGGTTCAGCTTTGCTTGTACTGGGTTAATCACAAATTTTTTGTTGATTTTCCATTTTAAACAAAGTTGGAAACTTTTATAAAAAACTTTTTTTAATGATGATTTATAAGAAATTTTCTTTTAAATTGCTCTGATGGGTCCTCTTTCATTTCCAGGGTGACGTCACCGTACGCATCTCTTCAGATATTCTTGGGCCTAAATACCGAATTCGTGTAAAAAAAATTGTTTTTTTTTGTTGATAACTATAATTTAATGGCCAGTCAAAATTTTGGAGAACTTTATGAATTTATGTTTCTCAGTCAAAACTGAGTCTCTCTCTCTGTGCGTGTTCTATTTTGGTAGAATTAAAATTACCTCTCTGATGTTGGAACGAAAATTAGTTAAGAACTGCCTTCGAGACTAAAGCATGTGGACAACAGGTAACGCGTGCGAAAGGGACAACTGTACCGTTACCCTTCATACTTTGTCAAGGCTGTGATTTATTAACTGAATTTTGGTAACGGTTACCCAGGTTCAAAAATAGACACTTGACTAATGAAGTACATGAAACTTTTAACAATAAAAAGTAAATTTTATTATAACTATAAATTAACAACAAACACAATCCCGATCATTTCCAGATGCCTTCATGTGCACTAAAAATTTCAATTTATACACTTTTAAATTTCCAAATGGTTATACTCAAGATAAAACTTTTCGATAAAAAGCACTTTTAAATTTCATATGATTAACTTACAATTAATTCACACTAAAAGAGACATTTACGAAATAACAATACTAACTCATTCTAAATTTACAAAAACATTTAAACTTTAAGTCCTTGTATTCCTACAGCCGATAATTAAAATTAAATATCCAAGGCTCATCTTAAAGTAGGTATCTTAACATCGGATAGAAATAATTTAAAATACGGAATAAAATGCTCTTCTAAAAAGTTACTAAAAAGGTAAGAAATTAGAGTTTATAAATACAAAGGAACTTGCAGATCACCTTCTGGAACGCCCAACGGGCCTGCAGGTAGACTTGTGGACTAGGAGAACCTCGACCTTCAGACCACCATTCAGCTCTTTAGAAACACTTGATTTTCTGCCGAGGAACGCTCACTTCTTGTCAACCGTCTTGAATCTAGCGACACTCCGTCTATCATATCCCGTTTTATTCTGAGGCTTCAGATCAACTTTTTTCCAGGCAACAGCTCATCCGATCAATGTGGCTTACTTAGTCGCGGTATCCAGGGACTCTTTCCAAATATCAACCTTTCAGCATTTCCGCCTAGATCAACTCATTCCGAGATTCCAGCNGCTGGAATTTGCACGCCAGTACCGCAACTAGACGTCCACAGAGTGGCAACAGGTGGCTTTTTCCGATGAATCACATTTTATGCTCCATGGGACAGATGGACGTTGGCGTATACGACGTAAAACGTCTGAAAGCAAACACCCTGCAACAATGTCCGGAAGGCTGCAGGCTGGAAGAGGGGGCGTTATGGTTTGGGGAATGTTTTCCTGGCATTCACTGGGTGCACTCATCATTGTAGAAGGCCCCATGGATCAGTATAAGTACATATCTCTCCTTGCGGACCATGGCCACCCCTACATGCAAATGATTTTTCCTCAGAATGATGGCATCCACCACCAGGACAATGCGAGGTGTCATACAGCTCGCAGTGCATGTGCGTGGTTCGAAGAGCACCAGGATGAATTTACCGTACTCCCCTGGCCAGCAAACTCACCGGATTTGAACCCAATCGAGAATCTGTGGGACCACCTCGATCGGGTTGTTCGGGCCATAGATCCTCAACCGCGTAATCTAGCGCAGCTGGCCACGGCACTGGAGTCGGCATGGCTCAACATCCCAGTGAACACTTTCAGAAACCTATTTGACTTTCTTCCTGCACGTTTCGTAGCGGTCCGCTCAGCCAAAGGTGGTTATTCTGGCTTTTGACAGGTGGTCACATTAATGTGACTGGACTGTGTATATTAGCTTCTTTTGGTACATGTGAGCTCACGGTGCACGTACCGGAGAAGGCAATATTTTGAATGACGCAATCGCAGGCAAGCATGCGCAAGTAAACAGATAGCTGCTTTTCATTTCCAGGTGACGTCACCGTACGCATCTCTTCAGATATTCTTGGGCCTAAATACCAAATTGGTGTAAAAAAAAAACGTTTTTTTTTTTAATAATTTTTTTTATATAAATGTAATTTAATGGCCAGTCAAATTTTGGAGAACTTTATGAATTTATGTTTCTCAGCCAAAACTCTCTCTCTCTCTCTGTGTGTGTTCTATTTTGGTAGAATTAAAATTACCTCTCTGATGTAGGAACGAAAATTAGTTAAGAACTGCCTTTGAGACTTTGGCACCAGACTAAAGCATGTCGACAAAAGGTAATGAGCCCGCTTGGGAAGGGTAAGACCTAGCAACGTGAGCGGCTCAACGCGCTGGCGATAAAGCTACATGAAAGAGTACAAATACTCACTTTGCCACTATTCCTGGTGTCTAACTGATATAACTAAACTGATCTACTAACGTAACTCCTAACTGATGTAGAAAATATATTTTGTGTGTTTTACAATTTTTTTGCGATCTGGTAAAATTTTTCTACGACCCGTTACCGGGTCACCGGTGATCTTAAGTATTTATAACTTGCTGCTTAATTTTTAATTTAGTAATCTGTTTCTTGTTTTGTTAATTGAAAAAGGGAAAAATTATTTATGTTCCAGAATTTGTATGGAGTCTATTTTTCCTCATTATTCATGTCATGTATTTTTCCCATGCGTGTATGCTAAGTATCTTTCTTCAAATGAGTAAAAAGTGTATTTTTTTCCCTAAATGAAACACTTTTTCTTAAATGTGTATGTTGAGAATTTCCCCCGAAAAAGAATGCTTTTGAATTTTTTCTTAAATTAGCTTTTGTATTTTTCTCAAATGAGCATGTTGTGTATTTTTTCCTAAAATAATACACTAATATGCTGTGTATTTTTCGGTATTCTTTATGTTGTGTGTTTTTTCCTAAAGTCATATGTTGGGTATTTTTCTAAATGTGTATGTTTAACTAAGCATTTAAACAACATACACTTTTACACAGGATGCAAGGACTGCAACTGATTTTTTTAAAATCCTCATTATTTTATTTTATTTTATAACCGTCTCTGAACAGCCGACTCAATTTAGGGTGTACGACTACTAATGTATAACCTTGTAATTTTGAACCCAATCCAGAAGACAAGGGAACTCCTGGATCAAGTATTGGTATATACGTGGAAGATTTTTTGATGGAACTAACCCGTATTTGTGTTACTTGGATGGGAAAACCACGAAATCCTTCCATGGTTATCCCAACGGGAAGGGTACTCTAACCCATGATCCGTCAATCACTGAAGATATTTTTGAGTCATCACTGTGGTCGGTGCGTGCCGGGTGTGGAATTCGTATAGACAAGCCATCTCTAGGATTCGAACCCGATTCACTTCATTTAAAGGCAAACGCTGTATCTCCTGAGCCCCCACAGCTCCTGAAAACATGTATCAAAGTTTGTTTTTATAGAACAGTGATCTTCGCTGACCGGTCAACGTAGAATAATTTAACGGTGGAACTCTGAGGGGAGGGGACGTTGATTGTTTACAATTTAGATTGTTATGATTTAATAATTTTAAATTAAATGTATTTAAACATGTCTTTAAAATAAAATATAGTTGTATCGAAAAATGTATATAAAGTGAGTTAACATTTATTTTAACTCACATAAGTTTAACTCATTACGCTAAATCAGTTAAAAACCAAATTATATTTCTTTGCTACCAAATGGTTTCATTTGGGGGTGATAAGAGACAATGACTCCCGAAGTATGATGCTTACGTCCAGTTTATTCCGCTTTGTTTGGTTGTTGTCACTGAAAAAACCCTCGCTTCCCACAGATAGGTTATCGGAATTGAGGTAGGGTTTTAAGTTCTGTGGTATCAATCTCAGGTTAACCTCTTATCCATGGAAAGTCGGATAAACCCGAGAGAAATACAACGCAGTAATTAAAATCATTTTAATATTCCTTGAGGAGCCCGATACCATTTAATAAGGTACCGGTACCTGACCGTGACTTAGAAACACTGTTATAGAAAAAGCACTGCATCAAGAACACTCACCAAACACAGTCATTATTTGTTCTTTTGAATCCTGGCCGGCTAGTGACGTCACAACACATGTATATTTTCCACTTAGTTCGATGGAGGGTTCCACAATCCTCAGAGCTCTGTATTTACAATACGGATCAATGGTATTCACAGCGAAATTCAAATCCAGGTGATTCCTTAAAAAGCCAGATGTATGTTTGAGGTTTAGGGCGGGAATCCATTGATACACTGGTTCGGAATTGTCTTGGAAAAACCATTTCACTACGAGTCTCAAATCGTTTTCATTGTAGATGTAATCGCAATCAAGTACTACAGGGTGTTCTGTTCCATTTTCCACCCAGCGGGGCACCGACAGCCTTCGTATTTCTGCTGCTCCGGTTTCTGAAAGAAACATAAAAAATCTTGAATAACCTTTTTCCGATATTGTGCAGCCAGTCTGGCAACATTAATTAAACATTATCCCTTTCGCGCCGACTGTCACAAATACGTGCCAGCATAAAACTGTATCAACCAGTGTAAAAAGATAAAACTGGTAATCAAAGTAATTCTTTAGCAGTTTATTTGTGGGCGGAGTTATAATTGTTTGATTTATTTAATTCACCATTACTTTGTTCAAAATAAAACTATTTAGTTATACTTTGAACTAACATTGATTATATATATGATTAAACTAACAATAATTAAAGCAATAGTAAAGTAAGTCTGTCAAATTAGAAACGACTACATTTAGGGTACCGTTTTTTATTTAATTACGTCCTGATACTGATTTTGTACGAATGCTTATCTGAATCACCCGTTCCCAAGGGGTTAAGTTATACACTAGTAGACATGTTAAACTAATTGCTTTTAAGAGTTTAGTAACCACTATCCCTGGGTTGTCAACTTTTTACGCGTTTTCTAAAATTTTTTTCCAGTGGTAGCTAAGTTTTTGCTTTAATGTATTATTTTTTTGTTAATTTAAATTCATTTTCTACACCACAACATATAAATGATTTAAAAGTTCATATGCATCGCCAGATAGTTCCCAAACTGGCAAGGGACCTCCCTGGCCGAGTGGTTTCGCCCACCAAACGCTGTGCAAAGCATGGAGGTAGCGGGTTCGAATCCCGCTGTTACCCTGGATGCATCTTCCTGCTATCCTTCTTATATGTCCTTCTATATGACAAAGCTCTATAAACCTAAATTGAGCATACAAGCCTGCAAATGTGAGTAATTACAATGAACAAATAAACCCAAACTGGCAAAGCAACGCCAGTATGGTGACGCTTTTAAAATGTAAGCAAAATTACCAAAAATTCTGAAAGTTTTGGTTTCTAAAAGAATACATGCCAACTCTCAGTCTTTTCGAGAACGGATTTTTCAAGTGGAAGTAGAACAGTCTATGAAGAGCAAACTTGCTCAATAGTATATTTATATTTTGACCTGGTTGAAAATCGCTACTGTTAAGACTATTATGTTTTTACATATTTGTTTTAATTATTTATATGCAGTGGTGATCAAACTCATTTATAATTATAATTCAAAAAGTTTGATGGAATAACCATGGGTAAAATCGAGACGGAAAAGAGGACAAGCCGGTAGTAAAACCGTTTCACGTTTAATTTGTTCTCGGGAGGAGTAAATCTATTCTCTTCTTTACACCACTCACCAATATCTACTATTTCTGAGAAAAGAAGCAGTTTTATATCCATGCTTGTAATTATAAAAAAAAATCTCGGTAGTTAGAGAAATTGAATGTTTCTCGAAAAAATGCTAGAATGAAAGCTTTTCGTACCTGTCTGTTATTTGCTGTCTTGGTATATATACGCTTTCAGTCCTGGGGATAATGTGAGTTTCGCTACCACTTTAAATATGAAAATATAATCTTGTTAAAAAAAAACGAAAGAGTTAGAATGTGTAAATGTTTACCGTTCTGTTAATACATTGCAAAAAGCGTAGGATTTGGCAGGCCTGCTGTTCTTTAACCCCTTAACTCAGTGATTTTTAAAATTAAAAAAAAATCACTTTTTTTAATGTAAAAAAACACACTTTAGAGCATTGTCTTTTCTTTTGGTGGACAATTTTGATATACCGCGCTTTTGTGCCATGGAAAAATGCTATATTTTTATTCTTGAATAAATAATTTTGTAGCTTACAATCCTATGTAAATGATAAATATCAATAAAACAATTTTTTTTCTTAGCTTTCACATTGTTATTTTCAATTCTCAATTATATTCGAGTGTGAAAAATTAAAGCAGCATAAGATACAATGTGACTCGAATTATGTTTAGTGTGTACAGTTTGAGCGCACTCGAATTAACTCGAGCGCACAAGTTAAAGGGTTAAAGAAAATGGCAAACTCACTTTTTATGGAGGCTCTGGAAGTGGTAATGGTTTTAATAAACTATGTAAAAACGACTGTGACAGAATATTTGTTACAATTTAATAATTTCTAATAAAATCTCTTTAACATATATATGCATTAAAATCTACTTATTTTAGTTTGACATTACTTAATAATACCAATATTAATCATAATTATTAATGTCGGCTTTTTATATAGTTAATTCAACACTAATAAATAATTTATAGAAAACAAATATTTATTGATAACATAAGCGTACTTAAACTTGCTACATTCACGTACATTTCGTATCGACGTTCTACAATTTTTCTTATATTACGAACCAAACAAACACCGCCGCTGTTGCCATTCCTAGCTTACAAATATATGCGCTTATCAATATTTGTTATCAAAAATATCTTGAGTTTACCAATAATATGCATTAAGTTTGGAGCAAATCATTATTTATTCCAAAATTAAAGCATATTATTTTATTTAGATAAAAAAGGGTCACACCAATACTAAATAAGCGTATACAAAGTTGTCAACCTGTACGGCTATTGAGAAACAAATTTTCTAGCGGTCGCAACATTACAGCGTTAAGACGTATTAAACCTTTAAATTAAAGTTTTAAAAAAATTTTCCAATCTGCTACGACAAATCAATAATTAAAAAATATGCAGATGATATGATATTGTTAGTTTATTTAGCTATTAAATGTTTAAGAAGCTTAATTTTTAGAAAAGAATTCCAACTTAAATTGTTGTTTCACTACCTTTTTATTAAATCTTATTCAGCTACCGTACTAGTTGGCAGGTATGTATAGATTAGCATATTTTTATCTCCCCACCCAATTATTAGAAAAAATAAGGAAAATCAGTATCTATTCATTCTTGAGCAGTGGCTCAGGGGATAAAGCGCTCGCCTCCCAATGAGGTGACTAGGGTTCGATCACAGAGATAGCTGGTTGATTCAAATTCCGCACCCGGTTCGCATCGACCACAGTGCTTACATAAAATATCATTTGTGGTAGACGAATCATGGGTTACAGTTTCTCTTGCTGTTAGGCTAACTGCGCAAGGTTTTCATGCCTTTCCTCTCCATGCAACGCAAATGCTTGTTAGTTACATCAAAAGTCCTCCATGAAGGCAAAATTTTTTCAAATTGGTATTTATTGCACTTTACAATGAATTTTTTTAACTGAAAAAAAAAGAAATTTAATACTTAAGTAGATTCTGTTTATACCTCCTTTCTCATTTTCCGAAAAACTAATCAAATCGCTCCCCAAAGGTTCATATGTATTTAAGCTGCCCTAAAGATGATTAATAATCATATTGATGCCATTTAAAAGCTATTAATTCTCCCAAAATGTATTATTCATAATGAACTTACTTCAATGAACCCGATAAGAGAAAATAAATAACTCATTTTTTGGATATTTTGACAAAACACATGCGCGCATAGACATTTTGAAAATTAGAACAGTGAAACTAGATCGCTCAAAAGATAAGAGAGAACCTTATCAGTACGATCCTTTCTTTCCTGCATTTCCTTATCAATCGGCGATCTCATTATGCGTGTTTTGACACAGTATGCGAAGTATGCACCGTAAGTTTTAACGCTCCATTTGCATTTCGTTGAAGCCAATAACGAGAAAAATGAATTCTGAAGATAGAGATCGCATTAACAGGAATACCCCAATAAGTGAATCTGTCTAATGTTTTTGATGGTTAATGAATGCTTCTGAATAATGTAAGCTGCCTCATTATTTTGTTAGAACTCAGTTAATAACGTAATACACGTGAGTTTATGAGAGAGATGTGTGTGTATTGATATCACCCATCTATTGATTTTTGCAAATATATTTTGTTCAGATTAATTAGACAATTTCAAGTTCTATTTTGAATATTGATTGCACACATCATTTGACGTTGTAAATGTTATAAATGGAAAATATTACAACTTATTTCTAGCATAAAATATAATTTTTTATGAAAACTTTTCTGAAAATGGATTTTATATTTTATTTTCTGAAAGCTTATAGAATGCCTAATATGCTTATGGAATGCCTATTATGCTTATAGAATGCCTAGTACGTATTGGCTATTGGGCACCAGGGCCGCGAAGCAGCCCTCATCCCATCCATCATGTACCTTTTAAATTATGAAGTGATCCATTTTATTTTTTTATAACCGTCGTTGAATCCAATTTTTGGGCTTACGATTGCTAATGTTCAACCACGAGAGCCTTGTAATTTTGAACCCAATCCAGAAGACAAGCTAACTCCTGGATCAAGTATTGGGAGAAATTTGCCTTCGTAACCCCGTTGCCTTCGTAAAACTAACCAGCATTTGCTTTATATGGAGAGGAAGACCACGAGAGCCTCCCACGGTTAGCTTGACGGAAGGAAACTCTAACCCCTGATCCGTCTACCACTGAGGATATTTTGCGTCACCACTGTTGTCGGTGCGAGCCGGATGCGGTATTAGTATCGATCTTGGTAAACACATAAAATTATTTTTGTCTGCAATTGTATTTCAATTACATTGAAGAGCAATTTTTTTGTTGACATTTACAAGTACTTAATTTTACATACTTTGGGTTTTGGAATTTTGAATCCGAAATTAATTATGTTCCGAAAGCTACTGATTTTTTTCGAAATGATATTTCTTGTTTCTTTTTTTCCCTAATGAACGTGTAGGTTTATATACATACACATAACCTTGTCTGCTCTTTTGAAAATAATACATAAGACGAGAAACATATGACCTTAACGTATCTCATCAAAAAGTGAAGTTTTTTTGTAGCAATTCCTCCACCATTCCTTACGTAGCAAAGACGTGGGGGGGGGGAGAGCTTAGCATTCATCCAAGAGAATTTTAAAATATCCTGGTTAGGAATATAAATGAAACTGCATTAAAACTGTAGCTTGAACAGAGATAGCGATTGCAGATTTGAAATCAGCAAAGCGAAAATAACTATGATCAGTTCGAAAATTTTATGAAAAAGAAAAATTCCATTGTTATTTTCATATTACCACTTGCAATTTTTATTGGTAAATCTGCTTATACTTCTTTTTTATTTCTTTATGTATGTTGAAAATTCATAGATTCTTGAGTTTTTCTCTGATTTGAAATTTAATTTTGAAATCAAATTAATTCATGTTTCGTGACTGAATTAATGTTAGCTAATTATAGTTATTAGTAACTTAATATCTGTGAAAAGATATGATAAACAGGGTCAAACTTCATCTATCGACCTGAGGCCTCACGTGACACATTAGCCCAGCCCTAAATAAATGTACCTATAGCTCACGAATCTAATTTTTAAAATTAAAGTTTGAAAAGAAAAAAAAATAATCGAAAGGAAAATTATAATTTGACATGCATTTTTACAAACACAAAATGAATGGAACGGCGTTATTTTTTTCAAGAAAGAGGATATCTAATTCATATTCTTTATAAAATAGCTATTAACCAAATTCTTCATTGCAATAATTCCGAATCCTACATTCGTAACTTAATCTAAATGAATCGTATAGTTTTACAAATCGCGTCACCAAATCAACTCAAAAAATTAAAATTACTCCTTTTTTATTTCAGAATTAAAATTAACTCCTTTTTTATTTCAGTTTATTTTTTATTCATCTTACCCGATAACAAATTACAATAGAACTTCGATTTCCTTTTAAAAATGCTTCAATCAACTACTACAATTCATATAAACCCTCTCAAGTTCAAATGGTATGATACTTTTACTGAAAACAAATTGTAATCATATTTTACACGGTTCTAAAAATGATTATTTTCTAATGGTGTTAATGGTATACTACTCATATCTTTGTTTTCACATTCGGATTCATAAAAAAACTTTTTTTAATATTGCCACTTTAATTTCACCAAAATAATAAATAGGACCAATCCAGCAGGTAGAGTGCCTGGCCTCTTACCGTAGCAAATGTGGTAACAAAGTTACATTTTTAGTAAATTAATTTAAATTGTTGCTCGCACTCAAAATCATGGAATTTAACAAAATTACCTGGTTTTATATATTTTTAGTTGTTTATAGATAGTGGCGACCAGAATCAATTTATATCAATCTTTAAAAAAAAAATCTCCTGTAAAAATGAAAAAGGTTGACTGTTATAGTTGACATTTTAACAACTTATCTATTATACTCAATAATCATTATTGATAAAAAAAATTGCATAAACCGATGTATGGTGAGCTTAAAATTTATAAGTTACTGAAATTTTTTTAAATATTAAATAAATGAAACAAAAATCTTTCAGCTGTCCGCATATTCCTATATTAACCCTTTAGTAGGCCATTTATTTCTATTAAAGGTAAATTAAAGCAATTTTGAA